GCAGTCAACGCTGTTTCAAATGGGTCAGGATCCTCATCTCCCACTGTACCGCGGGTAAAGGGCCTCACTGTCAAGGTTAGACACCTTTGGCTTCTATTAACTTTGTTTTATCTTCTTAGACGTTGCTTTTGTCGTCCAACATTGGGCATGCAGTTTTCAACAAGTTTCCACTCAACAAAATGTCGATTATAGGCCCTTAGCTAAACCTACAAATGCATGGCCATTCATCTTTTTGTAATAAGGTGAATGTTTGCTATTCGGCTGCTCAACGCATGGATAAGCCTTTCGTTTATTTTGCTCACCTCAAGGAGAACTTGACAAAAGCACCGCCCAAGCAATTATCGCGTCAGAGCCTCACTGCAGATAGCAACGATGTTGGCGATGATCAGTGGCAAGACTGGGCCTCAGACACTGAGGATGGCCAACTTTCTGCCGAAGCCTCATCATTGCTTTCTCTAAAATCATCGAAATCGATTTCAAGACCCGAAAATGTGAGTTATAGTTTGGCTTTTTACTCATCTGTTGGCACTGCTCCAGTCAAATTTCGTCTATCAGCGGAAATCATTTTGCGTATTGCAAGTGTGCGCACCCTATTTTTCCCGCCTAAGTTGTCTTCATACTTCCCATTTTAATGATGCTCTTGAAGAGCCAAGTGAATTTCATAAAACTACAGGACTTTCACCCTTGTGAATGTTGTGCACACGTTTTTCCAAAACGGATGCATCATTTTGGTGTAATCACCTCTAAAAACATGAGGTTTACTATCTTTGTTAGCAAATTAAGCTTTTTTGAATAATTATTTCACTAATTGCAGGAACGCAAATCCGAATTGTGAATTTTATTTTAAAATGAAAATCCTTTTAAGGACGGGGGAGGCTCATCCCAAAGTGATCTTGAACCGATACAAAGAATGGAGTTAGGAAGTCTGGCGTTGCCATGTGTAGCAGACTGTTTTTTACGCATCTGGGACGTTTTTCTCAGGCCACATCCGTCACATTAACAGACGCTTACTGGAAAGTGCAGCTTCATCGTGTTTTTCTTCCTTCTACTTAGGAATTGGGGGCAGGGGTGGCACAAGTGAAAGTTGTTCTCACCGAATTTGAGTCTGAAATTACTTCATATCCCGCAGTGAGTTCAATCCCCCAAGGAGGTGACCTCTTACCCACCACCCCATTGCCTTCGGCAAATGGAAGCCTTCGATATACGACGGAGGTAGGCGTAGTAATTTGTTCTCATTGTTTAAACATTTGGTTGCTATTAATATTCACCATATTAACTAGCAGAGCATAATGAAATGTGCCAAGCCGTTCTGTGGCCCACCACTCAAGTGCTCGCCTCAGGCTCTACGCCTTCTATTTGTCCTGCTGCCTTTGCCAATGGTCATATTTGTATCAACTAAATTCGCTTGTGTCGTCATGCATAGACTGTTCATTAGCTCGAAGGTGTCATAAGACCGACCACTATAGCCTTTCATTTCAAAATTGAATGCACATCTGCAACACCAGACTGGCTAATTCAACCGCTGCTCAAAGAAGTTTGCAGTCTTTTTCAAATCATTAGTTCTCTGCGTTCACTTTGTTGCCTTAAGCAATGAAACCGTTGGAGAAGCTATTCGATTTACCTAGTTACCACAAACCGATGAAACATGGTGCATGCTTATGAGGTGGTGATCAGCCAAGAATATTGGACTATCAAATATGTGCAGCATTTGTCGGTGGAATAATGTGCATAAGCACGCTTTCCTCGCAGAATGCTTTCAGTGATGTGAATACCGAGGAGGACGATGTGAGTGGATGGAGCGTTGAAGACGACGAATTCTAACTCTCGATATTTTGATACCATTTATTGCTTTCTTTGTTGCGTTTTTTTTTCTTATTGCGCCCATTTATTAAACCATGGTTTTACAAGGTGTACCGTTTGCTTATTTATAAAAGAACTGCACAGTAACGTCGATACTCAAAGGTTAGCATTAGTTAGTGCAGGTTGCA